TGGCGTGGCGGTGGCGCTGGGCTCCTTCCAGCGAGGGGGCTCTTTGGGGCGTGCTCGCCGCCGCTGGCAGTGGACTTCGGGCAGCAGCTCCTCGCCGCGCTCTGCAGCCGCCCGGAATGCTGCAGCAGCTGCTTCCGCGAGCCCCGTTTCCGAAAGGTCCCAGTCGGCGTTCTGACCCAAAGAACAGAGGGTGGTCGCCGTTCTCGCGCGCGACGCCATGAGGTGCTCCGCGGGCTCAGGTCCGTCGAGCGGGCCGACCCTAAAATGTGCCCGGGGGGCGGCGGCCGCAAGGTTGAAGGCGAGCTTGTGGAGGGCGGAGCGGAGGTCGCCCCACTCGCAGGGGGTCTTGACTTCGACGCACTGTCGGTCAGGCCGCTGCGCGTCGCTGCGGGCCTGCACGATCTCCACGCGCCGCGTGATTTCGCGGGGCCGGACGTTGCGGAACGCGACAAGAACAGGTTTGCGCGACGATCTTCGCGCTACCCCCCCGAGCCAAATCAAAGGGGGGATCGCGCGATCGGCATGATTTCTATTGTCATCAAATTCTTTGGAACAAAATTCGCAAGGGTTTGGTTGAGGTCTGGACTTCTGGACTTGAGCAGCATGGGGACACGGCTGCGAAAGGCAGCTCCGCCCTCAGGGCGGCCCCTCTCCGCGGTCCGCTGGACGAAACAGCCGTCCTTGCAAGCGCCCACGCGGCGATCCTTCTGTTGGACATAGAGAAGTTCAATGACTCGTTGAGCCTCGCGCTACTGATCCGCACCGCTGCAGCCGTTGGTTTTCCCGCCTTAGTCGTCGCCCTCGAATGTCAGATTTACTTGCCCCCCCTGGTAATTGCGCGGCACTGCGGGGGCCAGCCTAGCGATCCGCCCCTCTCGGTCGCTCGTTGCGGGATCATGCTCGGGGGCCCCTCTTGCTAAGTTGTTTCTGCGTCCGGTTTTTGACCAAACCCATCGGGAGGTGCCGATTTGCAAGATTTGGTCCTTTATCGATGATACAGTTTCCCGCGCTGAAGGCGCGGCCGATCAGGCAGCGCAAGTGTTTTGAGGCGCAGCATCTACGCCTTTTGCAAGCCTTCGTGAGTGCCGTTTGACCGCCTCAGACAAAACTAAGCTTCTGGCCACCTCTGGCGACGTGCGCCTTCGTCTTAGCCAGAAGTTTCGGCGCGCTGGAGTGCCGTTCGCTCCCGCGCGATCGTCCGTGGATTGAAGGTGCGACGCGGCTCCAAGCGTTCAGCGCAGCCAGAGGAAGTCCAAAGCCTCGAATGACTCAGGCCACCGTGAATTTCCAGGCAATCCAGAAGCTGCGGCGGTCCGCCAAGCTTCCAGAGACCTCGAGCTCCCTTTGCGCCGCATGGGGCCCTCCCTCAAGCCGCTCGCGGCCATCGAGCGCACGGCTCGCCCCCGAGCGCGGCGCAGGTGCTCCGGCGGAAGGCCGCCTGGGCCATCGCGGGAAAAAGGCCCAGGTACTCGCAACTGTGCTATCTCTGCATCTGGGTCGACGCGGCCCCACGATTGAGCTTCGCCGTCAGTTGGTGTTAGAAGTTGTATTGATTCGGAAATCGTCGCCGCATCTGCATCCTAGGATTCAGCGCGCTTGGCTGCTCCTCACCCCTAGGTAGGCTCTGTGGAAGGAAACCGCTCGGTTGTGCAGGGCCAGGGCCTGGTCGGAGCCGCCGTTGCCACCGTGCGCGAGGCGGGGTGGCCCCCCTCGGCGTCTCACTCGCGGCGACGGCCGGTCCAAAATGCGAGCTAGGTCCGGCGCCACACCAGGGCCGATGGGCCTGGATTCGACGAGGGCGACGCCGATTTTAGTGAATTGATGGATGATTTATCCCAGGGCCTGTCGCCCCGCCTCGGGGCTCGCGCGGCTGACCACTGCGAGGGGTCGGGCTTGGAGCGGGGCGGGGGCGACTTGCGGTTGGCTGCAAGGGAGGTCCACAGGTCCGTGGCAGCCGGCGAGTTCGCGACCAGTTAGGTTTGCAGACGGCAGGCGCTTCAGGCGGCCAACGGACTAGGGCTCGCCAGGCCATGTTGAGGAAAAGGAGTTGAAGAAACCTGCCTGCGTTGCGGGCGTGAGCCCGAATCTCTTTACCATCGGGTCTGGTCTTGTCCATGCAACGTCGGTCTCCCTGAGTTTGACAAAACCCAGTCCCTTAGCAACCATGCCGCGGCCCAACATGAGCAGTGTCCTGCGCTCTGGTTCCGATGAATTGCGCCTGTTGGTTTCACGCGCCCGCCAAGCCTCCCCGAAAGGAAGCTGGAAGTTCTTGACCCCGTCCCGATCGCGTCGGCCTCCCTCAGCCCGAGTTTGGGCGCGCGGAGGTCTTCGGAAACGGGTCGGGTGGGGCCCGCAGCGCAGACCCGAGGTGGCGGCGGTGCCGGACGGCCATTGTGACCATGCAGACCGACGGCTGAAGGGGCTGGAAGATTGCCGGTGGTTTGTCTACCCCAGTCGGGGGTAGGAGACAAACCGCCCCTCGTTCTGAGTTGCTCACCTTCGCCTTGGAACGCGTCCAGCAAACTATGTTGTTTGTCACGGACCACGAGCCTCTGGTCAAGGCTCGGAATAGCGATCGGCTGTTTCATTAAAAAAAGGCGTCAACCAAAATGAGTGGTCGAGGCTCCGCGTTGTGTTGCAATCTCGGGCCACTCATGTGCACTTGAGATTGGTTCCTTCTCTCACGTGGACCAGGCTCCCGAAGGAGAAGTGGATCCATATCTAATTCAGAGCAGCGCCCTGGCTGTGCGGCGGCGCAGAGGGGTGGGAGGAGTCTATCCGTCAAGGCGAGCCTCGCACGGACCACTGGGAGCAGTAGCCACCCTGGACCGTGCGAGAGCGTGCAGAGCTCTTGCCCTCGCCGCTGCCGCCGACCCATGGAGCGGGGCGCGGCAGCGGCAGGAGCGACGCCCCGCCCCGTCTGCCCTGAAGTTGGCCCTTGTGTGAAGAAGTGGACGTGCAGCAACTACCCCATGATTGCCCCGCAGTCCTGGGCGATCCGCGCGGCCGCCACTGTTTGTAAAGGCGCCCATGCGTCTGGCGAGTTGGCGGCGGGTGCGAATGCAGATCTCGTAGGCGGCCGCGATACCCATCCCTCTGACACGCCTGAGAGGTGGGAGAAGTGTATGCTCACGTTTTGCTCTGTGTGTGGGAAGTACGGCACAGTGCACGGCAGACAGCTTGCCGCCAAGTGTGAACCCTCACGCAAGGGGCGCGAGAATGTGTCGCGCTCCAGGCAGGCCCGTTCCCCTGGCGCTAAGGGGTACCAGCGGCCGTGCAACGCGCCCTTGATGAACGCAACTTTTTCGCGGGGCCTGTCTTGCCCGCCGAGGCGGGTGATGCGGCTGCGTCCTCTGCGGGGTCAATGCGCCCTCATGCGTCTGGAGGGTCGTAGGCTGGCTTACGCAGGTCCAGGGATGCTTGCCTGTTGCGGCAGGTGGGTTCTCTGGCTCGGGCGGTCGTTTCGCTCTCCTCCCCCTCGTTCCTCCCCTCCCTTCCTCCCCTCCTCTCTCTCGCGCACGCCCCCGCGCTTGGTCAAAAGGTCCAAACGGGTCCTCCTCCTCCTCCTCCTCCTCTTCCTCCTCCTTCTTATTATTCGTCTTCTTTTTCTTCTTCCTATTCTTCTTCTTCCTTTTAATTATTCTTCTTCTTACTCTTCTTATTATTAATATTCTTATTCATATTACTCTTATTATGTGTCTTTGTTTGTTATCATGTGTACTCTTATTATCCTCCTCCTCCTCTTCCTCCTTCTCCTCCTCCTCCTCCTCCACCACCTCCTCCTCCCCTTCTCCCCCTTCATCCTCCTCCACATCATCATGCTCTCCATCAACATTCCTGCTCTTTTCCTTCTTCCCCCGCCTCCCATCCACCCTCCCCCCACAACCCCCCCTCCTACTCGTCCTCTCCCTCCTCGTCATAGTTTGCATCATCATCGTCACCGTCATCGTCATCGTCATCATCATCATCATCATCATCATCATCATCATCATCATCATCATCATCATTATCATCAGCATCAGCATCAGCATCATCATCACCGTCGTCGTCGTCCGAATCATCATCATCATCATCATCATCAGCATCATCATCATCATCAGCATCACCATCATCATGATCAACATGATCATCATCATCATCATCAGCAGCAGCATCATCATCGTCGACGTCATCGTCATCATCATCACCATCACCATCATCATCATCACCATCACCATAATCATCATCATCATCATCAGCAGCATCATCAGCATCAGAATCATCATCAGCATCACCATCGTCGTCATCATGATCATCATCAGCATCATCAGCATCCTCATTCTCGTCCCCATCATCATCAGCAGCATCAGCATCAGCATCAGCATTAGCATCATCATCATCACCATCATCATCATCATCTCCAGCATCATCAGCAACAACAGTATCATCAGTATCAGCAGGATCATCATCAGCATCACCGTCATCATCATCATAATCATCCTTGTCCCCATCATCATCAACAACAGCATTATCATCATCAGCATCATCATGGTCGTGATCATCATCATCATCATCATCACCAGCAGCATCATCCTCAGACTCACCTCCTCACCATCAACAGCAACATCAACATCCTCCTCCCCACACCAGTGTTGCCGTCATCATGATCATCTTCACCACCACCATCATCATCAGCATCATGACCATCCTCCTGCTCATTATCATAGCCATACTTAGCATCAGAAGCATCGTCATCAGCAGCAGCATCATCAATAGCAGCATCATCATCATCAGCAACAGCATCATCATCAACATTAGCATCACGACCCGCCCTCCATCCGCATAGTGTTTGAAATATGTTCGGACGCATGTTCGCGGGGCTGAGGCAAGCCCCACATGGTGAAAACGACCCGCCCTCCATCCGTGCAACTACGGGAAATTCCAAACCTCAATACCACTTACCGTGAGCAACTAAGTCTCTGGCGAAACGCTTAGCCCGCCCTACCGGCACGCCTGGTGGCGTGAGGACTTGTAAGGAAGAGGAGTACCGTGAAGGGGGAAATCTTTTCAGACCAGACGTCGACGCACTCTGGCACGGGTTGCTCTTCAAGCAGGGCCCAATGCGGATGGACAGCTCAACGCCAACAAATGCCGTTCTCCCTCGAGACTAGATTTGCTTCGCTTCTTCACAGAGGACGCATGACCCCAACGGGAAAGACGGCCGATGGCACAGCGGCGCCCCTGCGGCAAAATAGTGGCTTGCCGTGGGAAATCGTATGTAAATGCGCCTCGCCTCAACAATACAGGCAACTTGCGGAGATCTGGCCCTCAGAAAGAGATGTCTTGCTCCTTGCCTCCACCATGGTGCAGGGCGACTGAAACGACGTGCACCTAGGTAGGCACTCTCCAAGGCTCAGCTCAGACCAGCATCTCAGCGGCGTGATCTGCAAAATTGCACGCGAAGGATGGCATGCCGAAAACGCGGTAATTGTCCGCAACCTCCATCTCCGCTGCGGTCAGGTTCCACGACCACAGGTCGATGTCCGCTGCGAGGTGCTGCGGATTGCTGCTCTTGGTCACCGCGGCCAGCCCATGCTGCACCAGCCACTTGAGGGCCACCTGGATGGTGGAAACCGAGTGCGCGGCAGCCAAAGTGCTGGTGAGGTTGCCGCCAAGGATGTCCGGATTGGCCTTTTCCGTCCAGGGCGTGTTCCCCAGCGGCGAGTACGCCTTCCCTCCCCAGCCCGTCCTCCGCATTGGCTCAATATGAACACTACCCTCCTCTCCTTCCCCCCAAAACGAGAGAATACCCCGCCCCCCTCCAACTACTGTTTCTCACACCCAAGGTTTCATTAGTCCCACCGGCCTTCTGGACGTGGGTAATGAACTCATGCTAGTACCTCTTCTCCCCCATCGGGGAAGGGGCCGCCCCTCCCCTACGCAGGGGGCGTTGCGCAAGGGGGTGGAGCGTCAAAAATGGTCCAAGACGGCTCCAAGATCGCCCCAGAGAGCCCAAGATGTCCTCCAAAATCGCCCAAGATATCCCAGAATGGTTCAATCCCCACTTGTCCTCTGGGCGCGAATGATTTAGAGCGTGTCATCATCCGTCTTCCCTCTTCCCCTTCGGGGGGGGGCAACCCCTCCCCCTACCCCTTGACCCTGGACCTGGACGAGGAGCGCGACCGATTGGAACGTCAAGAATGGCCTCGGCGAGAAAACAAACATCGTTGATTTACTTTCGTTGTTGGTTCGATGTTGGCCTCTTGGTGGGGCCGGGGGCGGCTACCAGACGATCAAAAGAAGTTGGGTTGAAACATGATGTAGGAAGGCGTCGGATGTAATTAGATTGGGCTTCCGCCCGCCATCTAAAGATAAAAAGAAAAGGGACAAACATTCCATCATTGCGGTCGGAAGGCGCCAACAAATATACTCGCATCAAAATATCCCCAGAATGCATACTTTCAATGACTGGTGAACAATGAATGCACTTCTTTTCCCCCTGATATTACTTGGAAGACGATACCTGACAAAGAGAAACTGTAGCATAATGCGGTACGCACTCTAGACAAAGGCATTATGGAGGCCGCGGGCTGGCATTGGGAGCCAAGAGAACTATAGAGCGAATGGAACGGATGAAACAGATCCCGGCTACAATCATTGAGCTGGACTCATATTGCACTAACATCCACTTACCCGACACAACCATGCTGACCATGGCTCGGGAATGACAGAGGACAGCTGGACACAAACCGCATCAGGACAACAAGCATTCTGACGCGTCCTGAAGTGAGCGGCGCTGCACTGTTTGCCGGAAAGTTCGGGATGAGGCTGCTGCGCGCAATCTCAAAGGCCCCGACCATGGCATTATAGTTTGACGAGAGCAGGAGCAGGAGAACAGAAGAGGAAGTGGATAATAGTAACTACGAGCTCTGAACGGACGGCCGGCAGCATATTGGTCGGCGATGATTTCCTGGCAGTGCGGAGAAAATTGTCTGCGCAATCTCTCGGGGAAACGCCGCAGCCAGTTGCTGACAAGGTTCTCTTCGCCGACGGGGATGCCGAACTTGCCAGCCAAGGCCCAGACCTGACCAGCACGGGCAGCAAACACACTGCCACGACCAAGCTTGACACGATCGGCGGCTGACAAGTCGGGAAGACCGGCGAGATAAGCAGCATCGCGGAGGCGCCTGGGCATGCGAGAGGCGGGGCCGCCGCGCCTAGCCTGAGATAGGGATTCGCACGGCGTGCCCAGAAACGCAGCTTGGACTTCGTCGCTGACAATCCACCTGAGCAGCACGGCCCAGGGGACCTGTCGATTGAGATCGAGTTTAGGTCTGCGCAACATATCCCACTCAATCACTGCGTGTCCTGCTTGGCGCAAGCGGCGAGACAAGTTGCCAGAGCCGCTCAACAGCTCCACGAAGACTCTGGAGTCGCGCCCATGGCAGCCCTTCATCGCCGCTGCTAGGACTGCCTGAAGGCGACGTCGAGCCCCGCGGCCAGACGCGGCATGACCTGCTGCTGGCCTCCGGGGATCTTCGTCCACTCGATGCCCCCTCCCCGCGCTTGTCGTAGCGGCGCGCATTGTTGACGGCGCGCCAGTTCCCTCGTGTCTCTGCTCCCATCAGCGAGCGGCAGCCCAGCAGGCGGTCGTGGCTGGCGCCGGAGTGTCTGAGGCTGTAGAACGCGCCAGCTATAGACGGCTCGCTCCGACCGCGTGCAGCGCCGGGCTAAAGCGTCGCTGCAGGAAGCCGCAGTCGAAGCCCCAAAACGGGCGCCAGCGCCCTGGGCGGCCATCGCGCAGCCGCGCCAAGGCCCGGGCCAAGGCCTGTTGCCGCGGCAAGTCCAGCGCCGACGCGCGGCCCACCCCCCACGCCATGCCTGGCCGCCCCAGCTCAGTCGCGCGCGCCGCCGCGGACGCGTAGTTCCCCGGGGCGCTGGCGTTGCCGAGGGGCCCGTTGATCTGCGCCGCGCGCGGCGCCGGCGCCTCTGAGGGTCACGAGTGGCCCTCGAAAATCATTGCGGCGCACAGCGCCGTCGCGCCCTCGCCCCGGAGGAACGGCCAGGCCACGGCCGCTCGGGCCGCCAGCTCGGGCAGTGGCGGCCGCGAGCCAGGTGGCTGGAGGCGCTTCCAGCCGGCCGCGGCGCGGGCCAGCTGCGGAAGGCACCTCCGCTGGAGCGCAGCGCGGAACTGCGGGGGCCCCCGCGGGAGAGCCGAGCCGATCAGCTCGGCGGTTGCCCGCGCCACGCCCCGGTCGAAAGCCCGCGGCGGGAAGTCCGCGAGGGTCGCGCCCCGCGCTGGCGCCGCCCAGTCGGGCAGGGCGCCGACCGCGAGCCAGCTCGCCAGCAGCTGCAACACCTGAAGGTGGAGCGCCCGGGCGGACGGCCGCGCCATGTTGGCTGCGAGAAAGCCCTGGCGCGGCAACGAGCGGGCCCGCCCTGGGGCGGAAGGCGGCGCCGGCTGCGCCCTGCGCACGCGCCGCCACCAGCGGCTCGCTCGCGGGTCGGCAGAGCGCCCGCTGGCGCCGGCTAAGGCGGCTGGCCGCTGGGCGGGCCCGCCTGGAGCGCGCGCGCCTCCATGGGGCCGCTCTGCGGCATTGCGATAGAGATGGGCAGCTCACTTGGGCCGGGGCGGCGCCAGACTAGACGCTTGGAATCGCCTCGCGGGCCCGTCTGCGGGGTTGAGCATGGCGAGCGCGGCGCGACGCCCTGGCAGCATGCCGAAGTCCGACGCTCTCCCCTTCTCCTGCGCGTACATCATGGACGCGTTGTCTCCCGGGCCAAGGGGGCGGCGCCCGCGGCAGCCCGTGCTGCGCGCGGCGCGGCGGGGCCACTGGCGCAGCGGCGGCGCCCGCGGCCCCCCTCGAGGCGATCGGCGACGCCGGGGGGCCGCGGAAGCGGAGCCTCTCCGGCTGCCCCCCCGCGGCCTGCACGTCGCCAAACTGCCGGCGGGCCGCGGGGGCGCCCGCGCCCCGGCCTCGAGGCGACGCGGCCTCGTCATGTCCGCGAAGATCGCGGGCGACAGCGCCCGTGCCCACCCGGGCCCCCAGCGGTCGCGGGCCCGCGGCGACCGCGCCTCCACGTGAGATACCCCGATGAAGACTGGACCGTGCTGAGCATGCCGAGGGGCCCTCGGCGCAGGAGCAGCAGGGGCGCCATGTGGCCCGCGAGCCTCCGCAGCTGACGGCCCGCGAGGCAGCGGCCAGGCTCGAGCACGTGCTGGATGCAGCCGCGCGCTCGCCAGAACTTCTTGGCCGCGGGCCGCCACCTGCCAGGCTTCGAACTCAGTGCGAAGCCGAGGAGGACGTCGTCGATGTCCAGCGCCGCCGCGCTGCAGCATGTCACAGACTGCCTGGCGAGCCTTGTCACGGCTCGTGCTGATAGCAGCGAAGTTGTCGATGTGCAAGACCTTGGCCGCGAAGTTGTCAAAATTGTCGACGTGGTCGAATTCTCGCTCTGTGATAACACGTGCATATGATATTTATATTCGGACCATTTTTCACCAGCAAACTGACTCAGCTTATCAAACATAGCTGTTTTGAGTCTACATGCTGAACGCGCATGCTGGATGTCGGTCGGGGTCGAAATGGCATGCGTTTCCGCGCACATCTGCCGTCTGAGCCTCGTCTGTGAGCCTCGTCTGGTGGACGACAAACTGATTCTTCGACAGGTTCAGAGTCAGAGGATCCCAGTTGCCCATATAGGCGTTTTCTTCTTCCACCGCGGCAGGCTTACGTTCAACTGCCCACTCAGCTTGCCCTTTGGCGTTAATCGGTCCGGGCGGCGCGTTCCTTTCTGCGCCCGTGGTGCGGACCTCGTTGTCATGCAGCATGAATGCTGTGGATTGTTCATGCATCGCCCATTCTGCAGCCACTGCCTGTTTCGAGACCGCATTGTTCGATGGGGAGTTCACCCTTCTGCTCGTGGCCGAGCGAGGGCTGTGGCTGCGTCTTGAACCCGCCTGTTGTCGTTGCTGTTCTAGGCGGTCAAACAATGGATTGTTGAAAGGATTTGGCGTTGCAGGGGCTGCAGGTGCCCCCGCGTCCTGCATTGACGGGGCACTGACTGCAGATGCCCCGGCATCGTATAGAATCGGGGTCGGAGATGCTATTGCTGGGGACGTTGCCGGCACCATGTGGCTCGTGACCGAGCTTGTCGGAGGAATCGACACCAAGACTTCATCCAGACTCCAGCGCAGGTCAGATCCGCCGGCCCTTTGCGGGGCCACCAGGCTGCAGGCCGAAGGATCGCAGTTTCCTGCAGCTGGGGTTGGAACAAATTTACACCACTCACGCAGATCAGCGGGGCCAGGGTCCAAAAACACAAAGGATTTGCCACATTTCTAAAATTCGGTGGTACCCCTCGCGCAGATCGGTGGGGTCAGGGTCCAAAAACGCAAAGGATTTGCAACATTTCTGAAATTCGGTGGCACCCCTCACGCAGGTCGGCGGGGCCAGGGTCTAAAAACACATGGGATTTGCCACATTTATACAATTTGCGAACACCCCTCGAGCAGATCGGCGGGGCCAGGGTCCAAACAACACATATGATTTGCCACATTTCTGACATTGGGTGGCACCCCTCGCGCAGATCGGCGGGGCCAGGGTGCAAAAACACGACGGGTTTGCAACATTTGTGATATTCGGTGACACCCCCCACGCAGATCGGCGGAGCCACGGTCCAAAAACGCAGCGGATGTGTCACATTTCTGAAATTCGGTGACACCCCTCGCGCAGATCGGCGGGGTCAGGGTCCAAAAACACATGGGATGTGCAACATTTCTGCAATTCGGTGGCACCACTCGCGCACACCGGCGGGGTCAGGGCCCGAAAACCGATGGGATTGGCAACATTTCTAAAATTTGCCGACACCCCTCACGCAACTCGGCGGGGCCATGGTCCAAACGCACAAAGGATGTACCACGTTTCCAGAACAATGCGGTGACACCCCTCACGCAGATCGGCGGGGTCAGCGTCCAAAAACACATGGGATTTGAAACATTTCTGCAATTCGATGGCACCCCTCGCGCACATCGGCGGGGTCAGGGTCCGAAAACTTGTGGGATTAAATACATTTCTGAAATTCGCTGACACCCCCCACGCAGATCGGCGGGGCCAGGGTCCAAAAACACATTGGATGTGCTACATATCTGAAACTCGGCGACACCCCTCGCGCCGATCGGCGGGGTCAGGGTCCGAAAACCGATGGGATCCTCAACAGTTCTGAAATCTGGTGGCACCCCTCACGCGGATCGACGGGGTCAGGGTCCAAAAACACATGGGGATGGCAAAATGTTTTAAAATTCGGTGACGCCCCTCGCGCAGATCGGCGGGGTCAGGGTCCAAAAACAAATGGGATTTGCCACAGTTCTGAAATTCGGTGGCACCCCTCGCGCAGATCCGCGAGGTCAAGTTCCCAAACACACGGGAATTGCCGCATGTCTGAAATTCTGGGGCACCCCTCACGCATTTCCGCGCGGTCAGGACGCAAGAGACTTCCAGCGTTGTCAAATTCGGAGTGAAGATTTGGGCACAGCATACGGGGGCAATTGGAAAATACAACAGCGAGAACAACAATAAACTCGCGATCTCCATTCGTCTTGCCAAGTACTCATCGTCTTCGCATGAAGTTCCGACGCTGCTTCGCGGCGAAGCCAGAGCCTCATGACTTCGCTCTTCCATGGCCAATTATCCGAGACCCCTGCAGATGCCAGATGGAGCCTCCACATCGGCCCCCGTCCATCCTCTTGACGCGAGCGCCCGAGCGTTGCGGCCCCATCATTCGGCGCGGCATTGGTGACCGCATTGTAGCCTCCGCATATTTTCGCGCATTGTTCAGGACTCGAGGCACGCGGCGCACTACGCGGAATATATATCCGACACAGCAGGTGCGTCTGAGCTCGGGCGCGCCCGCCTCGCATGGAGACGGCGGCGGTCCTTCCCTGGACCTTGGAATAGACCTCGCGGTCTCCGCGTGTCCGCGCTGGGAATTGCTGTTAGCGATTTGTTGCGTCCGCCTTGCGTTTCGGTCACTTGCGGCCCTGCGGGCCTTTTCCCGCTGCTTGCATCGTTGCTTGCATCATCGCGTGGATGTCGTGCAAATATGTCTGCAAGGTGCTTGCTGGTGGGTTGACCTCAAACGCTGATGGCTGCACTATCGCGTTTGGATGCGTAGGCGAAATGCGATGACCCATGCGCGGCTACGTCCCAGAACCTGGGACACGTACCGCCTGCAAGCGATAGAAACAATCCGCCATGTCCCGTGTCACTTGGCCCTGGGCCAATCGGCCTACCATTGGTGTTCCATGAATCTCTGCATAGCGCTCGGGAGACAATGGCTGATCCATCTGTGGTGGAGCTGGCCCTTGGAGTGGAAGGTGCGTTGGGTGCGCGGCGAATGCCGGAATCAATTGCAGCCTATCTGGTGGTCTGCCGATGAGCTCGCATCTGGGTGCCATTCCCAGGGGGGTGTCCAGTTGTTCCAGTCTGTCGCATCCACTCCGAGCAGCCTCATCTCAGACGTGGCTGTCTGGTATTGTTGCTGCCTGAATCTCTGCTGCTCACGCGCTGACTGTTCGCGTCCAAGCTGATCTGTTGTTGGGGCTGATATCGGCAAGCCTGGTAGACTGCCAGTGGCCTGGCCTTGGCGTGGAGTGCCGAAGGGCGTTATTGCCCTGATGGCGGCTGCCAGGTCTGGAGGCTGGCGCAGCGTTGCCATGCGCTGCAGAAGGTTCTCATTGCCCGTCGACGCTGCTTGTGAGCAATTCGGTGTGTCCGCCCCTGACGCTAGGCTCGGCTCGGACCTTGGCGGACCGAATGCCGCGGGCTCGCACCCAGCAGAGCCAGCGTTTGACAATGACCTTGCTGGCCCGAAACTCGTGGGAGGCCCCGCTGGTACATCGCGGAATTCATCTGCGCGCGGATAGAACCTACGGAACACATCCGACAGACTAGAGACGTCGCTGGACGGCGGCGTCGCCCACGAGGATGAGCCTGCATCGGTTGGCAAGGCTGCCGGTGACCCGGCACGAGTCGGCGTGGCTGCGTCAGCGGGTGTCCCCGCGCCCATCGTTAGGCTAATGGTTTCTGTGAGCTCTGGTGAAGATTCTTCCAGGCCGAAAGCCCTCCTGTGCGCGGCCGCACTAGCGCCGAATGACGGCGCGCATTCTTCTGCACCAAGAAACCCCGTGGGCGCGGCCGCCCCAACACCGAATGGCGTTTCGGGCTCGGACCAGCTGTTCTGCAGTTCGATATCACCTATGGTCACCGGCCAATCCCGTAGCTCATGGCATTCGTCATAGAGCACGGAGGATTGAGCCAAACATATCTAAACTCAACTTCGGGATTCAGCGAAAGTTGCATGAAGTACTTGGCTGGAGCGATACCGTTGGAACCGTCCGTCAAGACAATATCGCTAGCAGAACGCCACATCTTTGCTCCATCTTTCAACAGGCGCGGGATAGGTATGAATATGTAAAAACTGGCGTCGACCTGAGGCCCGAACGGATCCTGGGGGCTCCTGGCAAGTATGGACATCCGCGCACAAACTGCCTGCTGGTCCTTCCTCGTGGATTATGCCCAGCGCGACATAATAATCCAGTGTGATGCTGGCAAGCACTTCCACATAATTCCGCGCGCCCCAAGGATGGCGAGGTCTAATCTGAATCTGCGTGGTGCCTCACTCCGCTGGGCCCACCAGCAGCCCTCGAATGTGGCGTCAGTGTCGCAGATCGCAGCCCCCCAGGGATGGCGAGGTCTAATCTGAATCTGCGTGGTGCCTCACTCCGCTGGACCCACCAGCAGCCCTCGAAAGTGACGACAGTTTCGCAGATCGCAGCCCCCCAGGGACGGCGAGGTCTAATCTGAATCTGCGTGGTGCCTCACTCCGCTGGACCCACCAGCAGCCCTCGAACGTCGCAGGTCGAGGTCTAATCTGAATCTGCGTGGTGCCTCACTCCGCTGGACCCACCAGCAGCCCTCGAAAGTGACGACAGTTTCGCAGATCGCAGCCCCCCAGGGATGGCGAGGTCTAATCTGAATCTGCGTGGTGCCTCACTCCGCTGGACCCACCAGCAGCCCTCGAAAGTGGTGACAGTTTCGCAGATCGCAGCCCCCCAGGGATGGCGAGGTCTAATCTGAATCTGCGTGGTGCCTCACTCCGCTGGACCCACCAGCAGCCCTCGAAAGTGGCGACAGTTTCACAGATCGCAGCCCCAAAGGGATGACGTAAAAGGCAAGAGAGAAGAGGAGGAGCGAAGAGAGGAGGAGAAGGGAAGCAAGAGAGGAGGAGCGAAGAGAGGAGAAGGGATGCAAGAGAGAAGAGGAGGAGCGAAGAGAGGCGGAGAAGGGAAGCAAGAGAGGAGAGGAAGAGGGAAGAGAGGAGGAGGAGGCGGGAAGGAAGGAAGGTGGAGACCGCAGTGCTCTATTCAAAACGAGTACCCAACGCAGGAGGGTTGGGACAAATTACCCTGCGACGTACCCAACCCAATGGCATCAAGTGGCAAGCAGAGTAGGGAAACATTAGCAGGAACCGTGACAGTGCAGGCGCGGCGATGTGTAGTGCGTTTCAAAATGGCGACCCATTGCGGGCGCCGCTTTGCGATACTCGCGCGTTTCAAAATGGCGACCCAAGAAATTAATTCCACAACCTGGCGATGGTGTAAGAATCGGGAATGATTAGCGGGCATGGTGGGCAACCTTCACTTCCAAACCAAATCGCCACAGTGATCATTCATCATGCTCGTGGTCAAAAGAACTGAGTGACAAGAGAGCCCGAGGGGCAACCTCACCTCTGAAACGACCCGCGTCAGTGGTGACAGTTTCCCAGAATGGCAACCCCCCAGGGACGGCGAGGTCGAATCTGAATCTGGGTGGTGCCTCACTCCGCGGGATTGACCAGCAGCCTTCGAAAGTGGTGACAATTTCACAGATCGCAGCACCCCCAGGGATGGTGAGGTCTAATCTGAATCTGCGTGGTGCCTCACTCCGCTGGACCCACCAGCAGCCCTCGAAAGTGGTGACCGTTTCGCAGATCGCAGACCCCCAGGGATGGCGAGGTCTAATCTGAATCTGCGTGGTGCCTCACTCCGCTGGACCCACCAGCAGCCCTCGAATGTGGCGACAGTTTCGCAGATCGCAGCCCCCCAGGGATGGCGAGGTCTAATCTGAATCTGCGTGGTGCCTCACCCCGCTGGACCCACCAGCAGCCCTCGAATGTGGCGACAGTTTCGCAACCAGCAGCCCTCGAATGTGGCGTCAGTGTCGCAGATCGCAGCCCCCCAGGGATGGCGAGGTCTAATCTGAATCTGCGTGGTGCCTCACTCCGCTGGACCCACCCTCAGCCCTCGAATGTGGCGACAGTTTCGCAGATCGCAGCCCCCCAAGGATGGCGAGGTCTAATCTGAATCTGCGTGGTGCCTCACTCCGCTGGACCCACCAGCAGCCCTCGAATGTGGCGTCAGTGTCGCAGATCGCAGCCCCCCAGGGATGGCGAGGTCTAATATGAATCTGCGTGGTGCCTCACTCCGCTGGACCCACCAGCAGCCCACGAAAGTGACGACAGTTTCGCAGATCGCAGCCCCCCAGGGACGGCGAGGTCGAATCTGAATCTGCGCGGTGCCTCACTCCGCTGGACCCACCAGCAGCCCTCGAATGTGGCGTCAGTGTCGCAGATCGCAAACCCCCAGGGATGGCGAGGTCTAATCTGAATCTGCGTGGTGCCTCACTCCGCTGGACCCACCAGCAGCCCTCGAAAGTCGAGGTCTAATATGAATCTGCGTGGTGCCTCACTCCGCTGGACCCACCAGCAGCCCTCGAACGTGACGACAGTTTCGCAGATCGCAGCCCCCCAGGGATGGCGAGGTCTAATCTGAATCTGCGTGGTGCCTCACTCCGCTGGACCCACCAGCAGCCCTCGAAAGTGGTGACAGTTTCGCAGATCGCAGCCCCCCAGGGATGGCGAGGTCTAATCTGAATCTGCGTGGTGCCTCACTCCGCTGGACCCACCAGCAGCCCTCGAAAGTGGCGACAGTTTCACAGATCGCAGCCCCAAAGGGATGACGTAAAAGGCAAGAGAGAAGAGGAGGAGCGAAGAGAGGAGGAGAAGGGAAGCAAGAGAGGAGGAGCGAAAAGAGGAGAAGGGATGCAAAAGAGAAGAGGAGGAGCGAAGAGAGTCGGAGAGGGGGAAGCAAGAGAAGAGAGGAAGAGGGAAGAGAGGAGGAGGAGGCGGGAAGGAAGGAAGGTGGAGACCGCAGTGCTCTATTCAAAACGAGTACCCAACGCAGGAGGGTTGGGAAAAACATCAGACGAAACCCCTATCAACTATCCCACGGACCTCAGGCCCACAAGCCAGACACGGTGGCGGGATGGACCGAAGGCCATCGATGATCATGCGTCCACGGCGAACACAACTATCCCACCGACCCACGAGCTAGGCACGGTGGCGGGATGGACCGAAAACCAGTCGATAATCATGCGTCCACAGTCCACGGCGAACGATGCGAATTTCAGCAGTCGCGACAAATACAATGATCCCAAAGAGTTTCCGTCTGGGCTCTGACCCCCCCTTCGTCCCCCGAGAACGCTCAGACAAAAAAGCACGAAACATCCCCCAGACTCTGACGCACAACCATTTGGACGCCCGAAATGGGTACGGAAAAAATGGGCACAATGCCCAACAACAAATGTTGCTCCAAACCAACAGCGGCCGCTGTTGGGTGGGCGGCCTTGTGTCTCACATGGACACAGGCCGCGGCGGCGCGGACAGCGAGTCCTGTTCAAAATGAACAGGAACTGCTGTTGGGCGTCGTACCCATTCTTGCCGTACCCATTTCGGGCGTCCAGAAACCAGGCCGGGATGGACCGAAGACTATGAAACATTTCGCTGTCAGGAAACCCGCGCGAACTCTCCTGCGCACGTGCGTTCCGGGGGTGCCGGCATAGTTCCCAACGGCCACCGGAGGCCCCAGTTAGGGTCCCAAGCCTGGATCCTCACTTTTCGTCCCCCTCCTGTCTTCTTCATCCTCCTCCGCCTCATCCCCTGCCTCCCTCCACCCCTCCTACCCTCATCCTCCTCTTCCTCCTCCTCCTCCTCTTCCCCCTCTTTCGGCGCTTCCTTATTTTCAGCTTCCTCCTCCTCATCAGTTTCGCTCCCCCCTCGCTCTCCCTTCTGGCCCTACTTCGACGAACCGCGGAACGGGCGCTCGAATGCGCATCATTTGCGCGTCTTGCACTTCAAGGTGCCCTTCTTTTCGTCGCGCGCGACATTGTCAGGCCTCACGGATAATGCTTTACTTCGATAATTTTCTCTTGCACGTTCCGCTGCACGGATACGCCTGCCAACTGCGCGCCGTGAAACCAAGGTCCTTGCGATCTGCTCATGCTACTTTCACTCCCCTCGCCAGGTGTTCCGTCTCATGCGCGCCACTGGGGTGCCCCTGCCGCGGGAACTCCTTCTCGAAGCAGCCCCTCGCTCCTATCCGCATCTGCAGGGGCTACGGGAAGTATCAAGTTGCGTGGCTCTCGAACACGACCCCGAAACCACGACTAGTCCAAAACACCCTACTCATGGAACCACATACCGCCGCCGCGAAAGCATCCACCACAGCCGGCGATAAAGACAATACGAAAACAAGGAATTGGCGGATGTGGCGTAATCTTATAGCATAAGCTGAGAACTCTACTATTAGAACATCGGCGACGTATCGAAGCATCCCACAACTCATCCCTTGATGGCAAGCAAGGGGAGGAGGTAAGGGAGAAACCATGGGATCGGGGGATGGATCATAGAAGGACGTGGCATTTTGTCCGGTACTATGAACCACAATAAAGGTGCACAGGGCAGTGCATCTAGCATATACGACTGCGCAATACTGAACCAAGACAGCGTCGGATATAGCGTTCGCTATACAGCGTATCCTTCAACCTCGTTTCAAGTTCCCCATGTTGGTTCAAGAGTGTAGGTTTCCCGTTTCCGCGTAGTGGAAGTTGGTACCTTGACTTGTTTCCAATTTCGTCGTAAGTTGGTGTGGCGTGGCGTAAAACCGGAGCGTATACGCTCTTCGGAGTGGTCAGGCGGATGTCGCCGATAGTGGATATAGCGTGTCCGCTAAGGACGTTCCCGCCTGCTTGCCAGTAATCACGCTCTGACGTCGCACTGGTGTCGGCAGTATACCAAGCCGTCCCGTGGATAGGTATTGCGATAGACAGTGCTGGCCACAACTTAATGGGGCCATCTCCGCTACCAAATATAAAGCAGGATGAGGACCATGTAGTAAGAGGTTTGGGATATGGTACAATATGGTGCACCATCTAGGAGGCTGATTGGGTCTTGTTTTAGGTACGATAATGAATTGCCGAATCCTCAGGCAGTCCAAGCAAACAGAGCGCCGGCACCTTGAGCCAGGCGCTGGCGGCACGCTCGCTATGCTCGCTATACATATGCCCCTCTGAACCCCTATTTCAGAGTGCGGCCGCTGGACAGGCGGTCAGCCGCTCAGGGCCACGTCGCTGGAGCTGCTGGCTCAGCAGCTCGAGCACGCCTTCGTCAGGGCGGCAGGGCGTGCAGGTGCACAGGCAGGAGGGCGGCCTCGATCTCCTCCAAGATGGCCCCAAGACGGCCTCCGAGGCTCCCAAGAGGTCCTCAAGAAGGCTGGTCCCGAGAGGCTACCAAGAGTGCCTCAAGAGGGCCGGCCCCAAGAGGCGCCCAGGAGGCCCCAAGAGGCTTCCAAGTGCTCCCCAAGAGGCACCCAAGAGAACCCCAGGAGGCCCCTAAGAGGCTCCTCCGAGGCAGCCAGGACGCTCGAAGAGGCCCCCAAGACCGCCAAGCGGCCCCCAAGACGCTCCAAGAGGACGCACGAAAGCTTGAAGGAGACATCCGAAGAGACTCCTATAGGCATCCAAGAGGCATTCGGCCATTCTGCTCGCCCTCCTCCGCCTCATTATCCTCCTGCTCCTCCTCCTCCTCCTCCTCCTCCTCATTCTCCTCCGACTCCTGCTGCTGCTCCTCCTCCTCCTCCTCCTCCTCCTCCTCCTCCTCCTCCATCATCTCCACTTGGGATATGTCGGCGTCCCCGGCCAGTTATTCCACGGCATGCTCCTCCACATCTCTGATCAGGACAACTCGCATGGGCATCGCTCATGAACCAAGACTGCACCAAGGCGGCTCCGAATGCCCTCCGAGCCGTCTCCCACGGAGGCCTCCGCCAATGCCAAACTTCGTAAAAACCCTTGTGCCTTCCAGTGTTCGCCTTCTCGCCCTTCCGCTTCCGATAAGCTCTGAAGGCCTCAAGACCAAGATGGCCTAAGACGGCCGCAAGAGGGCCCAATAGGGACCCAAGACGTCCCCAGGAGCATCCAAGACCGCCCCAGGAACGCTCGCCCCAAGAGGCTCATGTTAGAGTCTCGACGGGGGGGGGAATGACGCCGCTGTTTTTGCTTGGTCGATGGCTTCCAAGACGGCCCCAAGAGGGCCTCCACAGCGTCCAAACCGACCCCAAGAGGGTACCAAGAGTGCCCCACGTTGGCCCCAAGAGAGGACCACGGGGGGCCAAGAGGTCTCCCCAATGGCCCCAAGACCCCTCCTGGATGCTCGCACGGCGAACGATCTGCGAAGGCCTCGAGGGTCAATCTCGTCGTCGCCGTCGTCGTCGTCGTCGTCGCCGTCGTCGTCGTTGTCGACGTCGTTGTCGTCGCCGTCGTCGTCGTCGTCGTCGTCGTCGTCGTCGTCGTCCCTCGAGGACGGATGCGGTCCACTGCTGGGCCGCATGCTGCTATACATCCCTGATATGAGACTCGATTGGCGTCTGGTTTGGGATGGGCTGGTGGGGATTCACGAAGCGTCAAGAATTGGTCTTTCATGTATGCGTTTACGAGCCAATTGTCTGCGGTTCTTCAGAACGGTGCTGGTACTGCAGCATAGGCCTCATTCTAGGATCGGCGCTTTGCTCCCATCAATCAGAACGGCACTCTCGCCCCAGCGCGTGTCTCTTTCTTTGCTGAGCCCGAGTCTTTCCTCATCATTGTCGCCCCCCTCCTTTCCCCTCCTCCGCCTTCCGCTGGTCTTTCTGCTCCTCCCGCTCATTCTACCCCAGCTCCTGCTGCTGCTGCTTCTGCTGTTCATCATCGTCCTCATCCTTCCTCATCCGCCTCCTGTTCCTCCTGCTCATCCTTCTGTTCATCCGCCACCTCCTCCAGTGTACGCACCTCCCAATTTACGATTGTGCATAACACGATTAGGTACTTTTTGGAATTCCAGGTCCGCTATGACACGCGTCGGCGGGTAAAGAAAACAACAGCGACATGGGAAGGGATGGGAGGAGGGGGAGGATGTCAGATGTGGCGCCGGCGCACCTAGCTTGCCCCCCCCCACCTCTCTTTTCCCTCCCCTCCTCAACGCCTCCACCTCCCCTTTCCCCAAAGATGCAGCGGCCTGCAGCACCACACCCTTGGACTGCGCGAAGCTAAAGAAACCAGAAGCGTCCGGCCCCATGCCGATGTGGTACGACACCTGGTTCACCATCGGGTACACCTCCCCCCGTCCATCCCTTCTTTCGTCTCCTCCGCCTCCTCTCTCCGCCTCTCACCTCTGCCTCATCTCTCTCACCCTCATCCTCATCCTCGTCCCCCATCCTCGGTCGCGTTGCCGTCGAGGCACGCGAAGCACGAGGGGCAGTAGTTCGACACACCGATGGCCTTCGCCTTGCCGGCCTTGTAGAACTCCTCGAGGGCCGCCCATTGGTCTCGCACTGCGCCGCAGCTGAAATGGCAGCTCCGGAGAACAAAGGCTTCGCGAGGCGGAAAGTGCAGAATGACCTGATCAATCATAGAACCACCACCGCCCCTGCGACCTCAGATCTGCAGGCCACCCTTGAAGCTTGGGGTAGGGGTGCCAATGAACCAACGACTAACCACAGAGCCAAACTCACCCGTGATCCTCAGATCCGCCAGCCACTCCTGAGGTCTAGGGCGGGTGTGGTGAATTAGCCTATGACGACCAAGTCCACATAGCTCTGGTTCAGCTGCTGCAGGTCCCCCTCCAATACCCTCCTGGTGTCTGCGAAGCAGTTCGACCTCGAGACGGCGGGGTCCAGGCCGCAGCCCGGCACCTTGGTCTCAACGAAGAGCGCCCCCCGCGGCAATCCAGACGCGCGCAGTGCGCGCCCCACGCCGACCTGGTTGTGGTAGTCCCAGGCGGTGTCCACCATCCTGAAACCCGCTTTGAAGGCCGCGACCAGGGAGGCCTCCGCCTCCGTGTCGTTGTACTGCCACACCCCGGCCGCCAGCATCGGCATCTCCACGCCGTTTCGCAGGCGCAGGGTGGGCTCGCTGCCCCATGTGGTGCCACACGCGAGCACGAAGAGGGCACCTCTCAAGCGCAGGGCCATGGTTTCTCCCGCGTTCTGAGGGTGGCTGCCGAAGTTGATGTTCCCTGGCATTCCCAGCTCGGCTTGAGGAAAAAGGGTTGCGTGGCGAGGGCCCGCGAGGCCCAGCTGGAGTGGCAACACCAACGCTGCTATCGCATTGAGATCGTCATCCTTCTCCTCCTCCTCCTCCTCCTCCTCCACCTCCAGTGCAGTTTGGCTGCCTGCCACCCCCCACAGGTGGAGGAGGAGGAGGAGGAGGAGGAGGAGGAAGAGGAGGAGGAGGAGAACCAGAGGAAACCCTAGATGCGTCAACGATGCTTCAATAAACCCTCCCGTGCCATGCCCCTCTCATTATAGGTCCCCACTGGCCATTTTTCACTACAACAAGCGCTCCGTTGAAACACCAGCACCGCTTGGGCCTGCCAGAGACCCGTTTGGAAAAGTGAACGAGAGAGGCGAATAAGAGAGATCGGCAAAGTAAGGTGAAAACGGTAGGCTGCTAGGTAGACTGGAACTTGGCGAGATAGAACGTGATCACACTTAATCCCTCGTGAGCGCATCAAGTCATCCCACCCAGTAATTTACCTACATACGGGAGCAGGTAGATCAATGAAAAACGCGTCCTGCACGGACGCCAAGATGTCGCTGCGAAGAGGCAAGCTCTGAGATCTCTACAGTATCGAAGATAAGACAGACCCCATCGCGAGGGCACGAAAATGTGAAAGATCGCGCTAAGAGCCAGAACGGCTGTCGGCGAATGAGGAAGTGGAGCGACACACCCAGCTTCAAGACCGGCACACTTGATCGGAGGGCTGGATCTCGGACCTCTGAGGATAATGCCAACTCTCAGACCGTGGCACTGGGAGGGTTGGTGATGTGCAGACCTCACGCGATGGTCTTTACAGACAAGCTTGTTATCCAAGGCAGGGGCTCCATACATGCTTTCGTGACAGGCGACGCAGCAGACAGTTCCTGCGAATCCGCCGACCCTGTCGGCGTGTGGGAGAAGCTGCTCTGCTTGACTCGACGTCGTCGTCGTCGTCGTCGTGGTCGTCGTCGTCGTGGTCGTCGTCGTCGCCGTCGCCGTCGCGTCTGAACCTCCGTTTCTCTGGTCCCGTCGCCGCTCCCCCCCTTTCAGTGGGCTCTCCTCATCAAGCGAGCAAGCCAACGCGAAACCAAGCGAAATTGGGCAACGTCGTCGTTGAGTCGATGGGAAGCCCCTTCCCTTTGATCCCTGCACCCCCGAGCCGGAGGGGGGGGGGTCCCAGGAGGGGTCCTAGGGGGCACCGGCGGGAGTCCCTGGGGGGGTCCTGGGGGGGGTTCCCGGAGGGGTCCTTGTGGGGGTCCTGGGGAGGGTCCCGGGTCAGAATGCCGCTCTCCCACGGGGGTCCTGGGGCCCAAAAGAGGCACGACATCCCTAGAGGCCCCAAGACGGTCCAAGAGGGCCCTGAATCGCCGAGTAATCGGTCCAAGACGCCAAAGATGGCCTCCTGGCAGCCCAGGCGGCTGCCAAGATGCTCGAAGTGGCCTCCAGGAGCACACCAAGAGGGCCCGAACAGTAAAAAATCAATGCTTTTTTTTTTTTTTTATTTTTTTGAAAGATTCTGGCGGTCTGCTTCCCGACGCCCCAAGGCGGCCCAAGATCCCAGCAAGAGGCCCCCACTAGGTTTCCAAAACGGCCCAAAAACAGGCCAAGAGGGCCCCACTATGGCCCTAGAGACCTCCCTTACTGCTCAAGAGGCGCCCAAAACGGCTCTCAGAGGGTACCCACAGAGCCCGAACGAACATTTCGAGCCCTCGGCCCCGAGAAGCTCCCAGGAAGCCAAAGAGGCCCCCAAGAGGCCCCCACGAGGCCCCTAGAGGCCCCCAAGAAGCATCCAGGAAGCCCGAAGGGAACCCCAAGAGGCTCCCAAGATGCTCCCAAGATGCTCCTCAGAGGCTCCAGAACTGCCCCCCAGAGGCCTACGAGCGCGCTCCGAAGACGCCCCATGAAGCATCCCTGAAGACTCTGCCCAATGTCAGCGTCGTCGTCGCCCCCGACGCCGCCGTCGTGGTCGTCGTCCCCCTTCAGGGTCGGCGGCACTGGCCGCAAGGATTTCACAATATTGTGTACGATTGCCCATGTCCTCTACATCCTCTTTCTTCTTCTTCTCCTCCTCCTCCTCCTCCTCCTCCTCCTCCTCCTCCTCCTCCTCTTACCCACTTGGTCACCTCACCCTCAACCGTCTCGTATAACTCCCACCGCTTAGAGGCCCGCTCCTAGTCATCGCTATTGCTGCGTGTGCTGTGCCCCTAGCTACCGCGTGGTTGTGGTACGTGGCAGGTGTGGTACCACCGCCACAGGTATGAACAAGTCACACACACACACACTCAGGTGTGCAGATATGATTGCTCGTGTATGAGACCGTTTACACACGTACGACGTTATCGCATTAGCAGAAACATGTGTCTACGCCTAGTGCAGGGCGCAAATGCGAATGCGACCTTGGTCGACCCCAGAATGCCTGAACCCCCACACTGGCCTCTCACGTTTGCCTCCGCCGCCTTCCACCGACCTTCCGCCAGCGGGCCCGCCGCTGTTTCACCTCCGGCGGCTTCCCGCCAAGCCAACCGCAAGCTGCGACCAAGGCGAGGCCTTTCCAAGGGAAGCCAAAGGGTACGGATACTGCTACTCCATAGACGTCTCCCGGGCTGCGTTCTGACCAGAATTTCCAATCGAATCCAGCCGTTGCGACGAGGGTTTCCCAGGAGCCCCAAAGCGGCAAAAACAAAGCAACAGTAACAGTATCGGTGCCCTTTCCTCCTCTGACTTCCCGGAGCGCCCTCATAGAGGCCCCCCCAAGGGCCTCGAGTCGATGGGGTCAGAGGATCGCGCCGCATCGGCGATGCATCGGCAACGTCGCCGTGGAGAAGACCGGGCTCCACATCGATCCGCATCGCCGATGCATCGGATACCTGGACTTCAGCAAGAGCAGGTCTCGGGAAATTTGGGATAGCGTGCCACCGCGACGGCCCTGGCGACAGGCTATGCGGTGCAAGCAGATTGCGTGTCGCTCCGCCCCGCGGGGCGGGAGGCTCGGAGAGGCTCGGGGCGTGGACGCCTGTGGGACACTGACGTGGATATCGGTGGTAACGATACTGGCGAACAGCCTAGGGGCGAGCACTACACGCATTCACCAGGAAGCCTCGCCGAAGGCATGGACCCTCAGCGCCTCTGGATGCACGTGTTGCTCTCCCCTGGGCTACTCGCGCTCATCGTCGCCTCCGGGGATAGCCTGGCGCGCGGTTGGCCCCAAACGAGCGACATGCTGAGCTAAAGCTTCTGGCCGTAAGCGCTGGTGCTGCCACCGCGAGCGGCCTCCCAGCCGTGCCCGCGCGCCGCGCGGCGGCAGCCGCACGGCGCCAGGCGCCCGCGCGGCGGCCGCGCGGACGCCAGGCCGCGGGGGCACCGAAGGCGCCTCGGGCGCCGGCGACGTGCCACGAAGCCGCAGGAGACCCAGAGTGGGCGGTACGCCCGAGGGGAAGTGAGAGGGACAAGGCCTTCTCAGACGGCGGCGGGGCTTCTCAGAAACCACCTGGCCTTCTGGGAGGTTTTCTGTGTCGTCGGGGTTGGCTCGGAAAACTTTTCAGAAGTCCCAAACCCTTCCGAGCCTTCTGAAGAGGCTCGCCCCTTCTCAATTCCCCCCCAGGCTCGCCACCAAAAGAGATCCGAGGCTCCGAAACAATTGGAACGACGTTTGTTTTGCCATGTTCGACCTCGCGGGGCCCTCACAATGCCTCGGGACCGCCAAACGAAGACTCGGGGTAAAACACCAATCATTTGGAAGTGGTCGAGAGGTCGGGTGCCCGTGTCTCGAAAAACGTCTGGGGGGGGGCTGCCGAGGGGAGCGATCGCCAATGCCTGACCCTGAGGCCCTTGGCGTCGCCATTTTTGTTCGAGCCGGGCGCTTTCGCATCATATCGAGCCCTGGGACCCTCACATATCGATCCAGCTCGAACGATGCAGCAGAAGATGGGGTCCTATGGCTCTGGTCATGATGTTTCCCGATGATGCATTTTGTTCACGCTGTCGGATCTCAGGGGCTGAGTTTTGCTCTCGGCCCCCGATGATCCTAGGATCGAGGAGGGGGATTTGGGAGCGTTTCGAGCCCCTCTCAGGCCTCGCCTCTTAGGGCCTCCCTGGAGGACCCACGCCCAGCTTGTCGGGGCTGCAGCAAAACTTGGAGTCTTAGAATCTGTGTTGATGCGTCGGAAGGCCAGGCTCGGGCAGTATGGCGTGCTTCTGGAGCCGGGGCATGATCGCCTGACAAATTTGCGATGTGCGGACGATTTGCTGATTTTCGGGAAGTCTGTGTCAAACGCTGTGGAGATGGTGGAAATCTTGACAAATGAGCTGGCCAAAGCGGGGTTGATTATCAACGGGGCGAATACAAAGATTTTGTCCATTGACTGCAACATAGCAGATAGCGAGACATCCCTCATGGTGGAAGTGGCCGGATCAATGGTTGAAGTTGTCCGCAAACACTCTTCTCAGAAGTACTCGGGAAGATTGCTCCCTGGCGACTTGAAGTAGAGAGGCCAGGCCACTTTGGCGCACAGGCTCTCATGTGCGTGGTTGAAGTATCATTTTCCACAATCCACGCTGGAGAATACGAAGGTCCCAATACGAGGGTCCAATACGACACAATCATGCCGTGGTCTCGTCGTCGGTTCTGTACAGCTTGCCAACGACGCCATTGACGTCAAGCCATCTGGACAAATTTGATGCCCTTCAAAGGAGAATGATGCGTCGCATGGTCGGCAGGGTGCGCATGGACGACGAGTCATGGGAAGAAACTGGTAGCCGCATGAAGGGCCGTCTCAGCGCTGCTTTGCTCAAGAACCCCATCGCTGCTTGGAGCAAGATGCGCAATCGACGTCGGCAGAGCATCCTCGTCAGTCTGGCCTCCGGGAACTCGCCGCAAACATCTTGCGCCGCTCACAGATGGGAGCCGGCTCAGTCGGGCAAAGCACACCGAGGGCATCATCCCTACAGGGCCAGAGGACGGCCTCGGCAACGATGGAGTGATTGATGAAGACAACAAAAACCAGCATTGATTGTGTCACTCCCCCTTCCCCCTCCTCTCCCCTCCCTTCACTCTCCCTCTCCCCCCACCCGCCCCCTGGAACGCAAGACAAACAAATGTAAGC